AGTTAACGGGTACAACCCATAAGTTAGACGAAAGGACAATTATGTTTTCACCATACAAATATCTAAGAACAATTTCTCGATTTGGTGTATACTGGATCAGAACCAATCAATATTGGTTTTTTGTAGAATTATTACTAAGATTAGGAACATAGAAAATAGACTTAATTCTATAATCAAATCTAGAAACTTTAAAATTTACGCTAGAAAATAAATGAGGGCAATCTAAACAGTTATTTAATAATTTATAAAAAAATAAAAGATCTAACATATTTCGCCATTGTTCTAGTGTTAGATTCATACATAACAAAATTGGTGTATGGCAATGATGATCCCTAAAATGTGAAATTTAAAGCTTACAAATCTTTTGCACTTACTCTAATTTTTTCATATCTTGAGCATCTAGAGGAGAACAAAGAGTGGAACAATATTCTACAATTGGTCTCACAAAGGTATAGAACAGAGTTTTCACAGCCGATGAATTATCAAAATCTTTACACAATCCAAGAATGAATCCTGACATTTTAAAAGTGTTATTCCTTAAAATAGTAATATTTTGATCAAATGTGAATGTAACATTTAAATTTCAGAAAAACATTTTCTTTATCGTGCCAACATTTTGATCTTTATTGAGATCATCTTCAGGGTCTGGGATTTACAAACATTTTTTAAATTTAACAAATCCATGTAGGATGTGGAAAAAAGGGAATTTATACAATGCAAAAAATATTTTTTATATTAAATCAAAGTATTTCTGCTCACTCAAAGTGTTTATTTTCTGCGTAAATACTTTGATTGAATATAAAAAATATTTTTTGCATTGTATAAATTCACTTTTTTTCACATCCTACATGTATTTGTTAAATTTAAACAATGTTTGTAAATCCCAGGTCCTGAAGATGATCTCAATAAAGATCAAAACATTGGCACGATAAAGAAAATGTTTTTCTAAACCTACATCTCACGATTTCTGAATAATCATCGACAGATGGTCATTAATCACCACACATTTAGCATTTAAAGAAATGCCTAAATCATTCATAACATAGACTCTACTTAATTCACAGTTGTTGACCAGATATTTGTACATTAAAGAACTAGATTTATGGAGAAATGTAATTAATTTACATTTGTCAGCATTTAGTGACATTTTATTTTCTTGGCACCAATGCTCAAGTGCCAAAAGATTGAGCTGTAGCATCTTACAATAATTTAAATTTTTGCTTTTTTTAAATACAATTTGGCGTCATCTGCAAATAGTGATATTTTCTATATTTTACTTCAAAGGCTAGATCGTTTTTAACAATTTTAAATAATAAAGGAGAGATATGCCCTCCTTGAGAGGCTCCAGAGGTTACTTCTATTTCGCTGGAAAAGTAGTTAAATTACAGTAGTAGTAAATTTTACAATTTGCTTTCTGTTTTTCATACAGATATAATATAATATTGCAAAGGGTGAAGATGGAAAATTCAAAGAGTGTGAATATTGGCTTTGTAATTGGCTGGCTGATCATGTCTTATAGTTTCGGTATGAAACTTAGGATAAAAATTGTGTATGTAATGTTTCTGCAATAAATATTTTACCAAATCTATGTGTATCGGTATGCATGCAATGCTTCTGTAATGTTGAGACAAGCTAGTAATTGTACATTTTGTAGTTTGGTCTGTGTCTCCTTATTTAGTGACTTTGGCCACCGTGCTAGAGCTCCATATGTGACCAAGGGTCATTCAGTTGTGGTGTATAAGATTATATAGAAGCTGCACTATTTACAACCTGAGCACTGCGACTAGTATTGGTATATTGTGCATCTCCATTTTTTTTTTATCTACAGCTCCTCATTAAGCTTAAGGCTTTTTCCCTGACCCCAAAGCTTTTTCAAGGGCTCCTATGTGTATCCTTCATACCTTGGCTTTTCCTCTCCGAGGATTAGGAATCACAGCCTAATATGCCTTCACAACAAAGGACATGTTCCACTGTTTCTTCTTCTTCTTGGCAACATATGCACAGACTTGTTTCTGTCTCTTTGAGTCTATTCATATGCCTCCAGAGTCTGCAGTGTCCATTCAGTAGCCAACTATTATTCCAGTCCTAGCACGTCCTGCTGTTAGTTTCTGTGATGGTCCTTTGATAAACTTTTTTGCATGCCTCTGCCCTGGACATTCCCATTGAACAGAGGACTTATTTTTAATCCATTGTCTATGGATGGCATTTTTGATTGTTTGGTAAGCTACAAAAGGGTTCAGGGCCAATAGGTGTCCTTGTGGAACTTTCCTTGGCCAATTTGTCAGCTTCTTCATTACCCCTCTGCTCTGGTGCCCTGACAAGGGTAATTTTGTTATTTTCCCCAATGTCTGACAGGGCTCTAATGCACTATGCAAATAACTTTGGACTTTACCGCTGATGTGGTAATTGCCTTCAGGGTCGCTTGGCTGTTCGGCTATTCCTCTATTGACTATACCAAGCCTTTTAATCTCCTTGACACTGTTTTCACTAACCATAATTTCCACTTGAAAGATGGTGGCATGTCCAAGCCTTATATGAATTCTTATCCTTGGTAGCTAAGTTTTTCAAGAAATCCCATCAATTGGTCTGGGCAAGGTTGGTCTAAAATCTTGTTTTCGGATGAGTCAAGTTTTGTTTGAGGTCTTTGACAGACAAAAGAGAGTTTGGAGAGGAACAGGATCCCTAACTATCCACGCGACATTCCCCCTACATCACATGGTAGAAAGGACAGCACAGAAAACCATAATCAACTTTATCAGAGAGAAACCTCCAACAGGAATAAAACTGAAATGGAGAGACAGAAACAAACTGTGGAAAAACCATCCATCACTCATGGCTCCAAGAGATGACATGAACAGGAGGTTTGAATTTAACCAAAAATTCCGAATACATCTGGGCACCAAAAAGGAATGGGAAAGAAAGGGAAATAACTCCTTCAAAAATGGCACCATCCTTTGGTACACAGATGGATCTAGAACACAAGAAGGTACGGGGGCAGGAGTATTTGGACCCGGAACCAAATACTCAGAACCCATGGGAAAACACACCAGTATCTTCCAAGCTGAGATTCACGCAATTGAAAGATGTATCCAATTCAATCTAAATAGAGGATACAAAAACAAGAATATAGCTATCATGTCAGATAGCCAAGCAGCCATCAAAGCACTAAGCTCAAATACCATTAGTTCAAGGATGGTGCTGAACTGCAAAACCAAACTAAATATATTAGGTATGCAGAATAAAGTCAGCCTCTGCTGGGTCCCAGGACACATGGGAGTAGAAGGCAACGAGAAAGCGGACACCCTTGCAAGGAAAGGGGCTGCCACACCGCTGATAGGACCCGAACCCTTCTGTGGCATAGGAATCCACACTATTAACGAATATCTCAGACAGAAGGACAAAAAGAAAATGAGCGAACTTTGGAATTCACTTATTGGACATAGACAATCCAAGAATCTTCTAACCAATTTTGGCAAGAAAGAAATCACAGAATGTGTCAAAGGAAGCAGGAATAGACTGCGAATCCTAACAGGATTCCTGACAGGACACTGTAGATTAAATGGACATCTAAAGAAAATTGGAATAATCCAAGATGGCACATGTAGATTCTGCAAGGAAGCAGAAGAGACACCAACACACTTACTAACAAACTGCGGAGCTACATTAGCCCGCAGGAGGAAGTGTTTTGGGATGTACAATGTGACCATAGAAGAGCTACAACCACTGAAACCAGGCCTATTAATCTAGTTTCTTGATGAAATAGGACTCACCGATGTGCTTTAGGCAGAGCACGGGGGATACAATAGCTCTTAAAGGGCGCAGTATACCATACCCTGAGAAAATTACATCTATCTATCTATCTACCCACGCGACATTTACACTCCAGAGAAGCTATGGAGATGGTGGTATTATGATTTGGACAGGCATTTGTATAGAAGGTCACACAAACTTGATGTTCATCAAGGGTTTCTTAACAACTGTTGATACATTGAAGATGTATTTATCAGAAGTTGTTTGTTATATGCACTAATTGGCGACGGTTTTATTTTTATGCATGACAATGCAAGGTCCCACAAATCTAGGATCATTGACTACTTGGAACAGGCTTCAATTCAATGTTTAGAGTGGCCAGCATGTAGTCCTTAAACCTTATTGAACACCTTTGGAATGAGTTGTCAAAGAGTGTTAAATGTCCAGTGGTGCCAGAAAATTTGCAGGAATTAATGTGTCTAGTTGCCCAAAATGTCTAGTTTCCATCTAGTTTGATTATTTCTGGAGCCTAAATGAGCTTTTCCTTGTACAATTATTTCCAATGGAGATAGGTTTAGCAGTGTTTCTTGTGAATTGAGAGGGATGTTTGCATTGCCTCAGTGATAGGTTTGCCAATTTTTTTATGCTTTTTATTGCTTGGGTAGCTTGTTTTTGGTGAGCTTTGGTGCATCAGAGGGTTTCTGTTCCACCAAGCACTGCAGCAAAGGCTTATTGTATGTTCCTAGTTTCTTGGTTCAGTGAAATCTACTCAATACTTCTCCTAAGAAGTATTAGGTCATTGACTGTCGTTTCTACAATTCCTTTCCCTGGGTATTCTTCCTATCCCAGATTATGTCTCCATTGAGCAGTTGCTTCGTATTTGAAGATGATATGGGTGACTGTTTCTTCATCCTCATTGCATAACGTACAAATGGGGGAGTCATCATATGCCATATATGTTATCTCAGATGGCAGTGACCAGTAAATAGTCCTATCACTCCTCCTTTCTAACTGGAATTTGCCAGTCGAGGGTTGGTTTAGCATAAGCTTACTGTCTTGCAGATCCTCCAGTGGTTATAGTCACTGGAATGTACATTTGACAGGATTTCCCTTGTTATCTATCAGCTTTATTTGGTTCTGCTTAATCTTTATTAGTCATAAAAATTCTATAATATATGAAACAGTCATAAAACGATTTATTACATTTTAATTGGAATGGTAAACTTAAATAACAAGAAATGAAGGCTATAAGCTAATCAACCTTTCATAAATATTAATTAGCCCTAATTTATTATCATTTTAAAGCAACAATGGGTACATCAAGGCCTAGAAAATTTAAATACAAATTGGTGTCTCACTGAAATTATTATCATTGACGATTCTCATTGGTAAACCTCTTTGAAGATTAAAAAAGTCAGTGCAAAAAATAGGCATTTAAGTGGAATGACGAAGCGTTATTGTTTGGACGTTTGACACCAGGCAAAATCCTTTTTAGTAGTATAAGCAAACCGAGGATTTCTCTTTCCTCCGTCCCGCTGGTCCTTGAATCCTTTGATAGTTTGATATTTTACATTGTATCAAAATTAAGAAAGGTTTCATCAACCGTCACGTCAAAACACGAAAACAAAACTCATGGGATCAACTGTGGTGGAAGAAGTTGAAATATCAGTTCCTTGGGGCCATATTTCGGGTATGCTGTTTATATTTGATGTCTTTACTTTCATAAAAACAGAGAAAAATCGCCGGATAACAAAGTGATAAAAGGTTTATCTGGATTTAATGCATGATAGCTATACTATCAGTACATCAGATTGTTTTTAGGTAAAGCATGGAAAAACAAAGGACTTCCTGGCATAGCGCTTCATGGGTTACAAGACAATGCGGGCACTTTTGACAGGCTGATGCCCCTTTTGAGCCCGATGATTTCATGGGTCTGCATCGATTTCCCAGGCCACGGGAAATCGTCTCATATGCCGATGGGGCAGCCGCTTGAGTTCATGCACCTGGTCTATTCCGTCAAGAGAGTCGTTGATCATTTTAACTGGGATAGGTTTTACTTAATGGGCCACAGCCTTGGCGCCCAAGTGGCACTGTTTTTCTCATCGATTTTTCCAGAACGTATGATCGAGGTGGTTTTAATTGATGGAGCCATACCTGTGGTTGTGGAGGAAAGTATGTCTGCGAACCACTTGAGGAACACTTATGAACGTTTGGAAGGAATGGAACGCTCTCTAAAGAATAAGACACCTCCTTCTTATACTTATGAAGCTGCTGTAGATAGATTAATGTCTAACAGGCCGTCAAAGTTGACCAGAGAATCTGCAGAAGCTTTGATCAAAAGATCCCTCAAACCTTCTGGCGATGGGTTCATGTTTTCTTCGGATCAAAGGCTTAAACTGTTTTTAAGGCCTCTTATTTCTTTAAAACAAATGTTGAACATTGTCGGAAGGGTTAAGTGCCGTATTTTGTTAATTATTGCAATGGACTCTTATGCAAATGTAAAATCCTCTGCTAACAAACTCCTACACCATACCAACATCATCAAACTTCTAAGCACTGCAACAGATTTCAACTTTGTATTTGTAGAGGGAAATCATGACATCCATTTAAACAATGCTCCACTTATTGCTGAGCATGTTAATAACTTTTATAATATAAAAAGTTTATTATAGTTTTTAATTCACCAACTGCAAGTTTTTGTTATAGCACTTTGTTTTGTAAAATTTTTTCTCTCACATTGTCTGTGATACTTTATAGAAACTCTTACAAGGCCATGGGTATGATATGAGTTTCAAGCAGTGGGCAGCAAGCATTGGAGTTGTAGAGTGAAAGTGCGGTCTCAGACACCACGTTGATGTCCATTGAATGAACACTATTTTTTTTGGGGGGGGGCCTTAAAACTACAAAAATACTTAGTAATCATAATTGACTGTAATAATGTTCAGTATGCTTTTTAATCTATGGTCTTGGTTGAGATGAAAGAGCTAGTGTCATGAGTGGGATTCGAACCAATGATGGAGTTCTTACTTCCGTAACAACTTCCTTTAGCCACTTAATAAATCATCTTAGAACTTAATAAAATTAAAATTAATTAATGTAATTTTATTGTTAGGAGTTAGAAAAACAATTTTTTTCAAAGTCGTGCCTCTAACGTGTTGGGACCTTTACGACTAAGTGATAGTGACGGAAATCATCCAGTGTTGTTTTGAACACCAGGATCGTGAGCTGAGGTGGCAAAGGCTGTGACACAGTGACAAACTGTTGGGGGTGGACAGGCTCAGGCACAATGAACGAGAGGAGAGAGACAATAGAGAAGAAATGAAAAAACAAGGTTTATCTTTTTTTCTGTATGGAAAACTGACATTTCCCATCCCGGAATGTAGATCCACATATGAGTATGAGCTCAGAGGATGGACGATGAGGCAAGGCTCTCTGTCGAGGTCCAGTTGTTGGAAACTGGTCATTTTTTTGTTTTCTTTCATCATTGACTTTGAGAATTTGTAAACTTCTAAGCAATAGAAAGTTTGCTTGCAAGGCCTCTGCGTAATATTTTGTTTTATAAATTAAATAATAATAAGCATTTTGTTTTGGTTCAATTTATATTGTTTTGTATTGTGATTCTGAATTTTGGGAATGTAAGTTCATGGTGTTTATAAAGAGTTAAATATGGTAAACAGTCAAACTTGTAACAAGGCATTTCTTAAACTTAGGGGAACTGTCTTCGATTTTGGGCTAGAAAGTTTGTTGTTCGAGCATGTGTTCACTCACCATGCTGCTTTTTATTTTTTTTTATTGTATTTTTGTTTTGTCTCTGCTTCTCTGAAGGGGTTCACTATTTTCTCCTGATAAAATAGTGTAGCACCCGATTAACGTGTTCATTTCCTTGGAATCCCCCCTTCACCGCTGATCATCAGGAAGGAATTGTTTACCAGAAATGTCGAGGTCCATCAGTTTTTTCTTCCCCATTATTTCCAAGAGCTTTAGCGAAGTATTCTAGCAGGGGCAGAAAAGAGGAAGTTTAAGTTGTTGGTAACTTGTTTTGTTTTTTACTTCAATGCTTGACTCTCGTATTGTACCTGTGGCCTTAGTTAATTATCACTTAATTATTAATTCATTAATTGCAATGTTTGCTTTAATCGGGTATTTTAATAGGGAATAGAGGTGCATGGAATATGATAGCCCTTTTAATCTTTCTATTTTATTGAATCATACATAAATAAATACATTTTATTACTCAGTGAAGCAACAAATATGTTTAAAATATCAACATAATCATAAATACACTTTTTAATGAATAAATAAATTTTATTTTGAAAAACAGATTTATAAATAAATATTTATAAATGATTTGATAAAACTTAAAAATTAATATAAAATGTAAAAAAAAATTGTAATTTTTTGGAGCAAAAGTATGTTTATCATGCCTTATTACCTAGGACCAGCAGTTGTTTCATTTCTGTTTAGTTTATTTATTTTTATATCAAGCATTAATCAGCACTAAATTTATGTAAACATTGAAAACAAATATTTTCCCCCTACTATTTTATTCTTTTCACATGTAATTGTATATACAAAGGGATATTTACAATAGAGCATTAATGAGAAATCTAATGATCTTGGAGACAAAATATCAAAATAATAAAAAATAAATTGTTAATTTTGATATTTTTCGTTTAGAACGTTCATAAGATTAAAAAGCACTACTGGTACATGTTATCAGAGTAGCTTAGTGATGTTTTTTTGCTTTTTTTAGCCCATGTTAGACAAATGAGTTCTCATCAAATTAAGGTCTTTTCTGAAATACAAAAACTTTAATTATAAATGAATTGGTCAAAAGGTTGAGGAAAATTTAAGTAACTTACATAATTTCATTTGGTAAGCAAGATGTTGTCAGTTTATTCTTTGTGACATACAGCATGCACAATGTTCTCAATGATGGCTCTAAAAAAAAATATATTACTTAAAACGCTTATTAACTTTATAAATAGTAACTTACTTAAATCAAGAACATGCAAATCATCATGATCAATTAGCTCTGGATACTGTCCCATGAGATCGTGTTGCCTAGAAACTATATTGAGTGAAGATGGGCTAAAAGAATAATTAATGTGGTGTTTAGTAACCTTTAGTTAATGATTATTTGCAGAATATGAGATACGGTCTGGTGTGACGTAGGTTTTAGAAAAACATTTAAACATTCCATTCCTTTACAGCAAAACAGATTTTCCAACAGCTAAATTAGTTATTGAAGTAGACTATGCAATCCAAAAGTCAACAAAAAACAGAAGAAGAAAAAGACAACATGATCAAAATGCGTTAATACAAAAACAAATTACTTACAACACTACAAATCAACACAACATATCTCAACAAACATACACCAAAACAAAAAAAATCCTAAAAAATAATCTAGACATACTCATTCTTTCTGCATATAAAACAAAACCAACAGTAGCATCAGCAAAAAAGAGTAGAAGGAAAAAATTAACAAAATTATCAGCGACACAAACACATACAGCGTAATCAAATCAGACCCTACCCCTCTCTCATCAAACAGACAAACAAAATCCTTCAAGAAACACTTAAAAAGAAATTGCCCTATACACCTACAGATCACTCCAAAACAATTCTCCAATGACCCCGAAACTATACGGATCTATCAAAACACATAAGCCTGAACACCCTCTAAGGCCAATAATTTCATTTGTAAATTCCCCTACATACAACATGACCAAATACCTATTCAATATACTTAACAACATCACAGATAAACATATAACATAAAAGATTCATTTCATTTCATTAACAAAGTTAATAATATTCACATCCCCTCACACTACTCTCTCATATCCGTAGATCACTTCCCCAAACACACAATAAACAGAATAATCAAAAACTAGAACTCAACATCAACATCACTATTACAAATAATACTACATCAAATCTATCAAATTCAGACAAACCAACATACATATCCATGCCATTCATTCCATGGCCTATCACATAAATTAAACTCATTTCTCTCTCCTGATAACTTTAAAACAACTTTCAAAAACTATAAAACAATTCATACTTTTTTCCAAAATTAAAGATCCATCTCCAGTAACAAACAAATCTGATGAAATTTACAATATCAATTGTTTAAATTGTCCGGCAACTTACATCAGTATTACATCCCAATATATGGACAAGAGAGTAAAGCGATAAATCTATGATTGCAAAAAATCCAAACAAAATCCTACAGCACTGGCTACCCACACCATTTTGAACAACAACACAATTTCGACTTCAACAATCCAAAAATATTACACACAGAACAAAACAAATATTAAACATAACTTTTTAGAAATGGTTTACATCAACAGGGATAAACACAGCATCAATTACAGAACAGACACAACTTAACTCAGTCGCAGCTACACTAATATCAAATTCAATATCGATACCATACATATATCATGTCATCACACAAAACATATAAAACAATCATTACATTCCACACATCAAACATTTCTACACAGTCTAATTCTTCAACTGTTTGGCTTTCCTTTCCCTAATTATCCCCGTCTGAATAATCCTGAAAGGATAATCAGGCCGAACCATTACCCATTTTTTTCTCATTGTCGGCTCCTTTCATCTCAAAGAAGCCAACTCCTCATATAAAAATGTCTTTCTATCCCGACTTCCTTCCCCAACCCTTCAAAATCCAACATATATTGACATAAAACATAAAAAACAACAACTGTAAACTTTTTTCCCCACATCCTATATGTATTTGTATAATTTAAGCAATGTTTATAAATCCCAGGCCCTGAAGATGATCTCAATAAAGATCAAAACATTGGCACAATAAAGAAAAAGTTTTTCTAAAACCTATGTCACACTAGACCGCATCTCACAATCTGCAAGTAAGAATAATTAATTATGAATCTCATGAGTAATAACATTTTTTTTATTTATTTAATAAATACCTCGTCCCTCCGAATAGATACATCTTGTTTTCTATGACAATGCACACCTGACGCCTTCTTTTATTTGGACAGTATCCAATTGTTGGGACTATACTCCATGTGTTCGTCTTCGGGCAGAAACAGTGGAAATCGTTGTAATGTTCTTTAAGTACACTATTATAACCTCCGAAAATGTAAAGCTTCCCGTTGTGTAAAACTATTAACAAACTTATATAGTACCAGGAGAATATTAAGATCAATAAATCTTAAGGTACCAGCTGAATGGCTTCTCCTGCCGACTGGAATATCTCCTTTGACCTCTGGTTTGTGCCAACGGTTTGTCTCAGTGTCCAAATAAACTATATCATTTGGGTAAAAGTTATCTCCACCTGAATTGAGCACTCCTCTATCTGACCTGCCTCCGAATATGTACATCCTCGTACCGATTGCGGTACCACTGTTGAAGTCTCGATATATAGGAGGCGGACCCTGGAAAAAAACCCAAAAAACTTTATAGTTGACTGCAGGCTGTTGAAAAATACTTACATTACCTCTGTAATGATGTAAGTCCAGTGCATTGTTTTTAAATCCAATGCATAAACATCCTGCGAATACCTTTCAAATTCTTCTTCATAACCACCAAAAATGTACATGCTATTGTTGATAATACATGCTGAATGGCCATCTCTCGAACACGGTATCGTGCCCGTTACAGTAGGCGTAGACCATTTCAATGTTTCTACAGTAATACATTTATTGCAATTGATTTTTTTTTTTTTTAAATTTACATACCAGTATTGAAGCAGAAGAGCCTGTTACAAGCTGATTCTTCATTTCGCCCACCCCACAGATAAATGTTTTTACCGAAAGCGACGGCCGTGTGACCGTACCTCTGGTATGGTGTTTTTGCATACTGTTCTGTATTGGGTAGCGGCTTTGGAAGCTCTTGCCAGCACAGTTGGTCTAAAAAAAACCCCTTATTGGTGTAAAACACTCTTAACATAAACAGTCATAAATAAAATTGCTGAAACACATAAAAAATAAATAGTATTTACAAATCGATACACATCAAATTTTGGCAACAAACAATAGTAAACTAGAGAATGCACATGATGAAAAAGAAGAAGTATAATAGAAAAGAAAAATAACAAATATTCTACTTTTATTTCCTTTTGTTGTTGGATGTTTGTCATGGGATTTGAATGCTTTGACAGTTGGAAAAGCTTAATGAAGCATTTAAATCCATAATTACATTACTTTTAAACTTGTTCGAGCAATATTTCATGGTGCCAATTTTTTAAAATTCTGTGGAAAATTGAGTTGATCTAAATAGAAAATTTGTATAATTATGGTAGTTTGTGATTTTGGTGTCAAGCTCATTCAAGAAATTTCTGATATACTGTTTTGCCCATGGATTCGATAATCCCACAAGCATTCTTGTTTTTCTTTTTAATTATGTTTAATTGCATCAGATGTCAAATGATCATCTGAAGGAGGATTGCCATGAACTCTGACCCTTATCGTTTAAGTGCGTTGTGCGATTGACGTACATATATTAAGGACATGTATGTCGATGGGGCCTTCGACAGTGTAGACCTCTTCGCCCGTGCTGTATCCTCCGAAGGTGAATATTGTCTTTCCGACAGCAGCCGCTGCATGGTTCACCCTCTTCGGGCCAGTCTTCAAGTGTGCGGTCCAATGCATTTCCCTGAAAAAGCATCAAAAATCGAAAGGTTTCGTTAGACTGTCAACTGTCTTGAAAGGCAAACTCAAGGGTTAAATTTTTGTTTGTTTACTTTTGTGACATTTGTGCATACCTTTGAAATCAGGTGATGATCGCAGGACGGATATATTTACAAAAACACCATCCCGGTCATTGTACCTTTGACGGGGAAAATGTCAAAGCGGTACAAATCACTTGTTACTTACAATTTACTCGGGCTTTTTTTGAAGTTGAAGTAAACGTAAATAAAGCACGGGAGAAAATGTTATAAATAGATAAGTCTAGTCTAGCTTGATTCACTCAATCAAGGGCACTCCTGTGGGAGTTGATAGAACCGAATGTGTCGTCATTGAATTTGTTGGATGTCATTACTTTTTTAAATATTTTTTTAAACCTTAATATTAAAATTAACAAATTAACAGAGTTCTTTGTAGACTTTTTTGCAAGAAAGAAACAATTATCCATCATACCAATAATTTTTCTCAATTCTACATTTGGTAAACTATGATTAACAGACTAGATTGACTTAGTTCCAGGAGCATCCAAACATTTCCAGCTTCCAAACCCAGTTGTATCAATCTTTTCATTCTCTGCCATTTGAAAAATTCAGATTAATACAAATAAAATGTTCAATAAAATAAATCAGTATAATAATAATTTACACTGCTTTTTGAGGATGGCAAAAAGCAGAGGGTGAAAAAACAACACGCTGGATAAATTAACTATTGATTAATTTTTAAGCCCTTAAATGGAAAACGACAAAATTCAACTCCTAGCCAATCTGAAAGGGATTTCACACTTTTAACACAAAATGAAGAAGAAATAGTTGCCAAAGAAACGACTTGTTCAAAAGAATAAAAAAACAAAATACATGTCTTCACCTGAAAAATAATAAATGTCCTTCCAACGATATCCCTTATTTTTGGAGTCCTAATTCGAGGCAAAATTGAAAGTTATATCGGACTAAACAGGCTTACTTCCACAGCTGTGTACGCCAAATTATGAAAGGATGTTAGTAAAGAATAAAGAATTCCTTCTGGTGTTTATAGACCTAGAAAAGGCATAATACTCGGTACCCCGAACAAAGATTTGGGACTCTTCCAGACGCCCTGGCATTATAAAACTAAATAAAAATATGTACACCGAAAATCGCTATAAGAGAAGGACGAAAGTTGTCCTGTGAAAGCATTGCGGTGACAAGAAGGTAGTGACAAGGCTGCTGCCTATCACAGACTTGATTCAAAATATACCACGATGAAGTGTTAGAGAGATGACCATGTTCATCGACTTCTGTTTGCAAATGTCCGGATTATCATTGATCGAGATAGGGAATAAAATTCATGCCAGAAATACTAAAAATGGCTTAAAAAAAGATATGCTTTCAATAAACTTTGATAAAACTGAATTTCTAGCATTTGATGGTATAAGTTAGGACATTATATTAGGAAATAAAATAATACATCAAAAGGAATACTTTAAATATCTCGGGTCGCTTATAGACAAAACAGAAAAGTGTGAAGTCGACACCTTATGGTTCATTTAAAATCCATAAATACAAACTTCTAAAAAAAATTAATTCAAACGTCGAATTGAAGAATAGAGAATTTAATTTAATTTTACGGTTTTGTTGGCAGGAAAACTTACACGAACGTTTAAACCAAAAATAAAATTACGTACCTCACAGGTAAATGAAACAAATGGACGTGTTGTATTTATTTATTTGTACCAGTTTATCCAATATGTTAAACCAAGCAGCAATATTTTTAAATTTGCAAAAAGGCATGAATGTATTTAAAAATAATAATTAAACATCCAGTTTGCCCCCTCACTCTCACTCTCTCTCTCTCTCTCTCTCTCTCTCTCTCTCACTCACTCTCACTCTCACTCTCACTCTCACTCTCACTCTCACTCTCTCTCTCTCACTCTCTCTCTCTCACTCTCTCTCTCTCTCTCACACCCTCACTCTCCTTCTCTCTCTCTTTCTCTCTCTCTCTCTTTCTCTTTCTCTCTATCCCCCCTATCGATCTATATCTGTCTATTTATCTTTCTTACTCTATCTCCCAAACACCCACTTTCTCTCTCTCTCTCTCTCTACCTTTCTATCTGTCTATCTTATACTCTCTCTCTCTCTTTCTCTCTTCCTCCCTCTCTATCTATCTGTCTGTCTATCTCACATGCTCTTTCTCTTTCTCTATCTGTCTGATTGTAAATATCTCATACTTTCTCTCTCTCTCTCTCTCTCTCTCTCTCTCTCTCTCTCTCTATCTATCTATCTGTCTGTCTGTCTCTATCTACCTATCTGTCTATCTCACATACTCTCTCTCTCTCTCACTCTATCTGTCTGTCACTCTATTTCTCTCTCTCACTCTCACTCTATCTATCTGTCACTCTATTTCTCTCTCTCACTCTCACTCTATCTATCTGTCACTCTATTTCTCTCTCTCTTTTTTTCCCTTCCTTTAGTTTGATGATTCTTAAAGATACTTAAAGATACCCCTTGATGATGGGAGGTAAAAAAATTCTAAATTATATTATATGGTTAGCCATTTTAGACTTCGTTTCATTTCCAGTGTAAGCAGCCGGTTTTAAACTTGGTCTTGTTTTCCAGAATCATGTATAAAAAGGGCAAAGTTGGTAGATTTTCTCTATTCACGCTTTCAGTCGGATAAATTAATCGTTTCTAGGAGTGTTCTGGCTAGATTAAAATTCAGCTTTTATTTCATTTTGTAAATTTATGTATCCTCACATTATAGAGAATTTTTTTTTTCATGATGTGCGAGTTGTGATAAGTAAAAGCTGTTCGGGTGTGTACTCGTAAGTTTGGCTTCAGTTTTAACATAACTCCAACATTAATAACTATTATGTTAGCGATATGCCCTTGTCATGTCGATAATTTTGTGTATTTGGCCCCGAAATAAGTCATTCAAATATAACGAAGACAGACCAGAAGAGAAGTCAAGTACAACCAACAACCATCATGATATAAATAATGATTACTGTGATTTTGTAATGTAAATGTAAGGCTTTATGCAAGATTTATAAATTATTGTTCGCTAAGCTTGCTGCTGCAACAAAATGGACGTATTTCACTTAACAAGAATAAAAGATGATATACTGAACTCCTACAACTGTTCCGTCCTGGGAATTTTATAGGTTTAGAGTTCGTAACAATTTGTAACCTGAGATAAACCGCTATAGATTAAGTTTCCAGCTAATAGTAGTTAATGGTCTTCGGTCCTTAACGGGTTGAGCATCCTACTCCTTTTCTCATGGGGCGAAGTTTTTTCCACTCCATTTGCTTCTTCTTCAGATGAAGTACAATTAAAGCCAACTTTAATAATTTTTGTATAGGGGATAATAATCTAAGCGTATCTATATAAGCACTGGCCATGATGTAAATTTGGTACTTAATGAGTTTGGAATAAAATTCATAATTTCTGGTCCGTTTATTCTCGCTGGTAGGACAGAAACGTCATATGAGACCATCCACTGACTAATAAACCTAGGTCAATTGCGAACAAACCCGGATAATTGAAATCAGAGTAAAAAACATTGATAAAAAACGCAATATTAAGTAGTTTGGACGTTGTCATTTTCTACCTATACCCGAAGGTTGAGTATGTCAGACGCGCATCTTCAAGGGTTAGTGCCCGCCTCTTCCTGTTTATAGTCTGAAGGTAGGATATTGAAACGCTTCTGATGGTCTAAGCCCGCGAGGATAAACAGGCCAAATAAATATACCCTCGTTAAATCATTAAAAAAGTCGTCCTTGTTGTTTAAAAAATGAACTGTTTAGTCTTTTTAAAGGAAAAAGGACTCGGGGTGACCATCTGTGGATACATATGAAAAAAGCTGGTAAACGATAGATAACTCACGTACTTATCAAAAGCTGTGCAATGTCAAAAGACACCGTTAGTCGCCATCTTTATAAAATTTATAACGGAAATTTATAACCGATAACATCAAAGTTACTTGAATTCATTTTACCAGTAGTTGGAAATATACAGCATTCCCAGCTTTGAGTTGAAGGTGAAAAACTAAAACCTTCGGAATTGCTTAGCTCTCTGAGAATACCTGTCCATATTTTAATTCCATTTTAAAGATTTTTGTGCACAGAGTTCCATTGCATGGATATCAGCTTAGGACATTCATGGTATACGGCCTAGAAATTTTGCTAGGTTAAAATTTTCGCCTTTGAGTCCTGCCCGCACTCTACATTTCATTTTTATTTATAGAATAAAACCCTTTTATTAGTTTCAGGGTTTTAATCGTGTCTAACAGTAGCAATGTGTTTGCCAGTTTTAGCGATGGTTCTTTAATAATGTGTTTACTCTGTTTGGAGTTCGTCAATTTCTCCTTTTGTTTTTTGTGGACCCATTCTGAGAAGGAGGATTTGCTATCCCAAGTTCTGGGACTATAGATTGTCTTGCAAATCTTCCTTTGGTGAGTTTGTCTGCTTATTCATTCCCAGACCTCTTTTGTGAACTGGCACCCAATACTGCTGGTGTTGGTTTGATGAACATCGATGGACTCATGGGTCCGTCTTCACTCGCGTTTCGGTATCTGAAGACCATAGACATAACATGTTGTCAGGTTTTGTTTTCGAAGGTGTTCTCAGGTTCTCAGGATAGCCTTTCCTTTTGATAGACACCAAGCTATGCTCGACAGACGGCTGAAAAGCTGCGCTCCCCATCCAAATGGGTGCAGGCAATGCCAGCGACGAGCTCAAGGATGTAAATGATATCGAGGTTCCTAAGCGTATTTTTCGTACTCTCAGGTATGCTTCCAATTCCCACTACTACATTGGCCGCCAAAAAGTTACTTTTCCGGTGCTGCTCCGTGAGAGCATCCCTCAGCATCCAGCTCTTTTGTGCCTTGAGGTCTGCCACGGCGTCGCACCCGCAGTCTGACACACAACCGCGAGGTGTAGGCTAATTGGTCCATTCTCGTCGGTTGCAGTATAGTCCCTTTTTCTACAAATAGGTATCTGATTTTATTTACTGTTGAATGCCAGACACATTTCTCCCAATTTGCTTGTTTCTTGGGTCTGTATGAGCTTTTCGTTAGTTCTCCTTAGTCTAGTTCCTGCTTTCAATGAAGTTAGGTTTAGCAGTGTTTTTAAGGCACCTAGCTGAAGGTTGTTATTATTGCTTCTCTGAGGCCCACTGCCAAAATTCCTACATGACATATATTATAACAATTCGAACAGCTTATGTTACTTATGATTCTCGATTATAGTTTACCTTAAATCAAGACCAACTAACTACATAAGAACTAACTAATTTAAAATTTAAAATAAAATAAATGCAAACTAT